CCCCGCACCCCGCACCCCGCACCCCCGTCTATGGCAATAGACAGGCGACTCCTGAAGTTTGTCGGGATCTGAACTTCAGGAGGACGCGAGAAAGAGAGACAGAGAGAAACATCCAAAGGCGCACGAGGAAAAACCCCGGGGTTCCACAGCCGACCGCAGGTTTCGATGGCAGCAGTCATCGAGTCCAGGCGTCATTGGTAGCAGGACCGTTTCTGACTCCGCTCAGCACTCGAAGCTCGGAGGCCGGTAGGACGCACAGGCCAAACCGCGAAGTTCGCCGGAATCCGAACTTCAAGAGGGCGCGGCATGGAAAAAGACGGCGTGCACTAGCAACTGCTGCCTCCCGTGCCTTTCTCCACTGCTAAAACTCTGCTATGTTCGGCATCACACAAGCCTCTCACTCGTCTCCCTTCTTTTCGCTTAAGCAGGATGTCCAACCACACGTCCAGATTTTGTGACAATCGCGGTTCCTCGGGGACGAGGTCGCGAACCGTAGCCATACAAAGCATTCATTGACGATCCGTAAACGCGGATCAGCGGATCGTCGACCGTTGCAGTTTCCGAAAAGACGGACATGTATTTCATCCTAACAAACACTCTCGGTCGTGCTAAGGAGTTCCCTATACACTCCCGTATGGCGGACACTTTCTCCTCGACCTCCCTAAGCAACGAAAAGTTTTGGACCGGCCCTGCTATAACCAAATCTCGCCACCCATCTACACGTTCAGGCCCGGGCGTCGGCACGAATTTGGACACCTCGATTGCCACCTCGTTGCGTGATACAAGCACAACTGAATCGACGAGTTTCCTGCTCTTGTTCGACGCAGCGACACATAGAACTCAGGCGAAATCAGACCCGGACACAGTCAATCGCACACAACAGTATGACACAACTTGTGGAGAATTCCCGGGGCACCGGAGCGGGTACTGGCCCAGGAACGAGCAGTGACGAGCGCAGTCCAGCAACTCTTGTTTCCGCGAGCCTCCCCAAGTTCGTGGCGACGAGCTGACGTAGTGGCATTCGAGGCGGCTGAAATGGCGGCTAATGCAGCCCAGCGCTCTGCGCATGTGGTTCAGGAACTTGTGTCCAAGGACAACGTCAGACAGCGGGATGAGGTTCCCGAACTCCAACATGTTGGTGAATTTGTACTGGCTTCCCCAAGGGTAGCGACTCTCCATCGTGGCCCAATTCCCATCGCACCAATCGTCAATATGCGCGTCCCTGCATGGGACGACGGTCATCTAGGGGTCCTCGTCAAAGTCCTCTGTGGTCGCTCCGTAGATCGTAGTCACACCGTTGAAATGCCGCAGTGATCTCGCGCAAGGAGGAAACGGTTCTGCCAAGCGAATGTGCGTTTGGGGACTCATGGTTTGTGGTGTCGAGAAGATCGACTCAAAGATTCGTGGTGTCGAGAAGGTCCCATCCATTACGCGCCCTGCACACCACGCGCAAATACCAAACGACACACACGGGGACGCTGACACTCGTAAACATAGTTGGCGAGCAATCAAACGACGTAGGTCCCTCGCTGTGGTTGTGCACTGGGGTTGGAACGCGAGTTGGGTTTTACGAAAGGCAAGAACCTGAAGTTCGCTGGGATCCGAACTTGGCGGAATGCCGTGGGAGAGACACAGCTGTCTATCAAACTCGCCTTTCCATTCTTTCCTAAAGTTCGGATTCCGGCGGACTTCACATTTTCACAGGTCCACCGCTGTGGTTGTGAACTGGGGTTGCAACTCGAGTTGGGTTTTACGAAAGGCAAGAACCTGAAGTTCGACGGGATCCGTACTTCGTGAAATGTCGTGGGAGAGAAACAGTTGTCTGTCAAATTCGCCTTTCCATTCCTTCTTGAAGTTCGGATCCCGGCGTAGTTCATATTTTGACAGGTCCAGTGCTGCTGTTGTGCACTGGGGTTGCAACTCGAGTTGGGTTTTACGAAAGGCGAGAACTTGAAGTTCGCCGGGATCCGTACTTGGCAAAATGCCGTAGGAAAGAAACAGTTGTCTGTCAAACTCGCCTTTCCATTCTTTCTTGAAGTTCGGATTCCAGCGGACTTCACATTTTCACAGGTCCACTGTTGTGGTTGTGCGCTGGGGTGGCAACTCGAGTTGGGTTTTACGAAAGGCAAGAACCTGAAGTTCGCCGGGATCCGTACTTGGCGAAATGCGGTGGGAGAGAAACATGTGTCTATCAAACTCGCCTTCCCCTCTTTCTTGAAGTTCGGATTCCAGCGGACTTCACATTTTCACAGGTACACCGCTGGGGTTGCACCGCGTGTTGGGTCTTGCGGAAGGCATGAACCGGAGGTCCACCGGGATCCGAGCTTGGCGAAATTACGTGGGAGAGACACAGATGTCTATCAAACTCGCCTTCCCGTGCTTTCTTGAAGTTCGGATCCCGGCAGACTTCACATTTTCACAGGTCCCCCGCTGTCGTGTGGTGGCTGCAAAAAGTTCGTCGTTGGATGACCGACAAGGTTCGATGACCGACGAGGTTTGCCGTCCAGTGGCGTTCGATGTCCGCCAACATTTCGATGGCCGCCGAGATTTGATGGGGCGCCAGGTTCGATGCCAAACAAGGTTCGATGGCCGACAGGGTTCGATGACCAGCAACGTTTGATGTGCAACAACGTCGTCACGAACTGTCTTTTGTCCATTCTCGAACAGGGATCGACCTTTTTCACGGGTTTCTACCGTGTGGTGGACCAATTGCCCTGCGTGCTGCGTACGACCAATGGACGAGGAGGCAGGTCGAATGCAGTGCAATTGGGGCGAGAAAAGTGAACCGCTCGGCTGACATGTCGGTGCCCTGGTCGGCGACCGGCCGATCAATCAGCTAATTGGCCAACCACAAACCGAAAAGTCGATCAATCAACTAATCAGTTACTTGTGCCAACGCTCTCCTGTCAACCAGTTTGCTGGATCGGTGGTACGCCTTCCGATTGGGCGATCGCGCAGAGGGTGATGCCACGGTTGCAACGCAAACACACGTTCGGCTGTGTGGTTGGTGGACTGCTGGATCAACCGGTCGTCCGACCGTAGTTCGAACAGTCGTTCAGTGATGTTGGTAATGGTGGATCTATTCACCAGTCTACTGTTCGCTCGGGGTACTTCAACGAGTGTGATGGATCGGTCGCTCGCCGCCAGGTTGGTCGTTCGCGCACGGTGTCACGTGTGTTTTGTTATTACATTTGATACTGGCGAA